CTCGCTCACCCTGAAGCCTTCAGGCCTGGACCAGACCCTTCCCTGGGGGTGGACAGGCAGGTTCTCAAGCCTCCAGGCTCCGTGGGGTGGGGATCCTGGGGCCAGACCACAGACTGGAGGCAGAGGGGAGCAGGAATGTACTCCCCGGGGAGGCCTGGGGGGTCGCCACATGCCTGGGGAGGCCCGTCCATCTCCCAGGCTGTGGCTGCGGCCCGATCGCTGCCCCGTCCTCACGTCCACTTCTCCACGCCCACCTGTCCCTCTCTGTGTGTCTGAGGGGACCACTGGGCATGGACTGGGGCCTCCAGGCTCACCCAGGACCCACCCTTGGGGGGCCCAGCGTGGTCCCGGCAGAGCCCCTCCTCCAAGCGACGTGGGGCAGGTCTCGGGGTCACCACCCAAGCCCAGCCAGCGGCAGACGATGCGAGGTTCCCGCCAGAGGATGCAGGGGTGAGCCCCGCCCTGGGCCCTCCAAGTCAGAGGGCAGGGCCTCCTGCTGGGGAGCGGGGCTGCCTGCCGAGAGCCTCCCCCACGGAGCTGGATGCCCGAGGCCGGACGCTGTGCCCACACCTGCCCACGGGGCTCTCCCGGGCAGACCTGGCCGGGCCCAGGTTACCTTAGCCGCCGGCCCCGCCCGCCAGCAGGAGGATGCTACGAGCCGGCGAGGCCAGCTGCTGGCACGGCCCCCGGGAACCCCACCAGGTCTCCAGGGAGCCCCTGGCCCGCTGTCAGGCCTGCCTGCACCTCCTCTCCCCACTGCCAGGGCTGCTGCCTCCCCGGGAGGTGGGGGGGCGCCCCAGGACCCCGAGGGTCCCCGGGAAGAGGGAGGCGGTGTTTGCACTGCCCCGGGAGGCGGGTACAGTCCGCAAAGTACGCGGATTTCCCGGGAAGGGCGGTGCGGGGCCACCGTGGCGGCGGGCATGGGCAGCCCCCTGCCGGGCCACCTCCCCGGGCATCCGCTGAGGCTGGGAGCCCCGCCTGGGCACGGCCCGGGCAGTACCGGAGGCCACCAGGAGAGGGCAGCCTCGAGCCCGGGCAAGACCCGGCCCCTGGGCAGAAGCCAGGCCAGGCCCAGCCCCCCGCAGGCCTCAGCCGCCGCAGCACCTGCGCCGCGGGAGAGGCTGCAGCTCGCGGGGCTTTACAGTAGAATCGTGGAATTCACTCGAAGTCAAAATTGCTCCTTCAAAAGTCAGAATAATAGGTACATTCTGTGGCAAGTGCTGCTGGCTGGCTCACGGCTCGTGATTAATTCTGGCATCTACTTAAGAGAAAGCGAGAAGGGGAGGCAGGGAGGGAGCGGGCGGGGGAGGCAGGAAAGGAGCCCAGCCTGGCGCAGCCCCTCCGCGGCTCCGGGCGAGCCAGGGCCCCGGCGGGCAGCGCCCCTCGCCAGGCCCAGCAGGTGTCGGGCCGAGCGTGGGGTCCTGGAGACGAGATGAAACGGCAGCGCGGGGCAGAGCATCACTAGCGGACACGCCTGACGGGGCTGACGGGCAAGGCAGAGCCCGCTCGGCCCCCGTGGGCAGGCCCGCCGTGAAGGTCGCTGGTGGGGGTCACTCGAGGAAGGGTGCAGAGAGGACTATGGGGGCCAGAGGCGGCCCCAGGCCGGAAGGAGCCCAGGCCCAGAGCTCTCACCTGATGTGGGTGCCTGGCACCCCTCACCAAGAACCGCGGCCCCTGCAGGCAGCCAGGACCCAGGCCAGGGGGTGGCCCACAGGTGCACCCCAAGCGGGTGCAGATGGTGTCCCAGCCCCTGACATCCCACACTGCGGCCGCTTGTGAGTGCTCTCACCACGGCCCTGGGCCTGGACCCCTGAGGAACCCACCTTCAGGGCCCTGACCGCCGCCCCCCGCCGGGATCTTTCCTCCTGGCCCCCAGCGCTGGGGACTGAGAGCTGAGCCGAGCACCCCGTGGTCTGCCCACGGCAGCACCGAAGTGCCAGCTGGCGCGTGACTCCTGGGTGGCTCTGCAGACCAGTGTCCCTGATGCCGGAGCGGCCTCGGAGGTGCCCACGCCAGACACAGCCATGCACTTCGGGGCAAGCGGCCTCTCTCTGGTGCAGCATCCAGGCCGGGAAACAATTAGCATGTCTGAGTGCCTGGTAACTGCCGTTTCATGGCACTGCCCCCAAACACCTGGGCACCCTGGGCCACACACACCGCACCCAGGGTGGAGGTGAGTGAGACGCCTGGCCTGCCCGAGAGGGGGCCAGAGCCAACCCCCTCCAACAGAACCCCAACTCTACCCAGGAGCCACCTCCTCCCCCTGCAAGGGGTGGCACAGCCAAAGAGGAGACATCTCAACCCCCAGCCTCCTTTCACCAGGAGTGGGGGCCCTGCCAGCCAGCGTACCTCTGTGGGTGCCGGGAAGGTGCTCCCCCCGGGAAGGAGGTGCAGGTGCTGCTGCTCCTCCCTCCTCCCCTCTCTGACTCTGCTGCAATGGTTGGAGTCACAGCAGCTACTGTGTAGACATGAGGCCCTGAGGGCGCTGCCACCTGCTGCTCCAGCCCCATCCACCACATCCTCACTGTCAGGCGAGAAAAACTGACCCGCTCACTTAGGATTCTGTCCACTGACCGAGGACAAGCTGAAGGGGCCTGTGTGGTCAGCCAGCGACAGGGCAGTGGCCCTCTGGGGCCCCCCAGCTAAGTCAAGGGCTGACTGGATGGAGGGCACCGCTCCTCCCTGTGGGGTGCAGCATGGGTGAGGGGCTCTCCTGAGGCCAGCAGATTGGGTCTCGAGCTGCCAGGTCCCTCTTCCTCTGCTCTGGGACTTGGCACCTGCTTTCTTCTGGTAGCACCCTCACCCCCCCCCCACCCCAACAGCACAGGCCCAGAATGCCTGCCCGGCCCCCTGCGGGGCTGCCCGGCCCTGCCTAGCTGGCCTCACCAAGCGGCTGCGGCCTCTGCAGGTGGTTAATTATCACACAGCACAGGAAGGCCGGGCTCAGCCTCGCCCGCGGCCGCCGGCTTGGAGCGGGCGTAGTTTCAGGCTAAGGAAAGGGCTTAACCGATGTCAGAGACCATCACGCAGCAGTGACCCTGGCCGCAGTGAGGCGCCCTGAACACGCAGGACGGCGGCGGGGCGACGAGGGACACCGGGGCCAGGCAGGCAGGGGATGGGAGGCTGCGAAGACGCCTCGGCAGTGCCTCCCACCGTCCACTGCCGCATCCGCAGAGCCCCCCCTTGCAGGATCCCTACCTCAGTATCTGCTCCCCTGCTGGGGAAACTATTTTAAGCCTAATTAGCATGAAAATTTTAGAATGCAAATGCTTTTCATTTAGACCTAAAACAAAATGCCACGACATTTCTTTCATCCATTTATCATAAGCAAGTTAATTACTGGGTAACAAATCGCTCCTTCTGGACTCTGGACTTTGGGGTGGGGGGTAAGCTGTGTGGGGAGCCCAGGACCCCTCAGTGCTCAGAGCGGCATGAGCTCTGCAGTCGCGGGAGGCCGCGGGCCGGGTCCTCACGCCTCAGTCCAGGCTCAGCTCCCCGCTGCAACAACCGAGTCAAGCCGTCTGTTAACTGGATTCCGATCGGCTCGGAACGAGGACGGGGCCTCTCGGAGGTGCACCCCTTTGGGGGCCGCCGGCTGCAGTGTTGCGTGAACAGAGATCTGGATCTGGCCGGTGTGTGTGTGCATCGCCCAGCCTCGCCTCCACGCTGGAAAGACACCTCCTGTCACCTGGAGAGCCAGTCTCCAGGAGCCGGCGGGAGCAGGCGGGGCAGGGGTGCAGGGTCCCTGGGGCCTGAGGGCCCCTGCAGGTGTCCCCCAAGCAGGCAGGGCTCAGGTGCCCGCAGGCGCTCAGGAAGCAGAGGCACAGCGGCAGCCCCCCAGCTGGTCCAGGTGCCTAAGCCCCAGGCAGCTTCTCCCCTGGCCAGACAGAGCCCACCGGGGCATGGGCCAGGGCGCCACCCGGCCAGCACCGGCCAGCACCGAGGGCGGCTCAGCCCGGGGCCCTGGGAGAGGACGGGCCTTTCACGGCAGAATAGAGCCTGCTGCTCGCCCCCGGGGCAGGTGCCCTCGCCGCCACCGTTTTTCTTGAGTTCCCGAGTCAAGCCACAGGCAGGCCTCCTCCCAGGGGGCTGCCTCACCGACGGCGGTCAGGGCGCCCCTGCGGGCGGCCGTGCGAGGCACTGGGTGTGAGGGAAGGCGCAGCCCCCCGGCTGGCATCCCCAGGCCGCCAGGCCCACCCGCCGCTCCAAGCAGTCACACCGCCTGATCCCGCGGCCCCCGCGCGACGTCCCTGCCGGCCGCTCACGCCGCCTGGGCCGCTGGGGCCGGGGTGCAGGAGGACAGCGCACAGCAACCCGGGGTGCAGGAGCGTGCCTCCCCGCTTCCCCAGCAACTCCGGCGACCACAAGTAAGAAAAGCCAGCTCAGTGCGAGGCAGAAGCCCTGACTCAGCACCGCCGGCCCGCCCGGCCACCGGCTGCCCCGCCGCCCGCCGCCCGCCTGGGCGTGTCCCGCACGCAGCTGCCCGGGTCTTTGTCCCTCAAACAAACCCGGGACAAAGTGCAGGAAGTCGGTGGCCCGAGCAGGGCCCAGTCCACGCAGAAACACAGACCCGAGGCCCCGCGGCGCCTCCCCCGTCACCCGGAGCCGGCTCGAAGCCGCACGGTGGGGCACGCAGGGGCAGGAGGGTGGCCGGGGAGGCGCCCCACACCCCGGCAGCCAGGAGGCATCGTTTGTCTCCAAAGGGAAGCCACACGCGGCCTGGCCCGGACACGACTCCCGTGGCAGGCGGCGCCTCCTGCGTGACGGGCGCCTGGGGGCCTGGCAGGGGGCCGGGCCCAGGGCTCACCGTCCACCTCCCACAGCCCGCCAGGCCGGGGTGGCCTGGGAACCCAGACCTTCATGCACAACAATGCTGGGGGGCGCCTGCCCGTTCCCTGGGCCACCCTGGTCCCCCGGTGCAGCTCTGGGGCCCACGGGGGAGGGCGTGTGCGCCTCACCAGCCCGCGGGGGAGTGGGCGCACCGCCGCCAGCGCCCCTACCTGTGAGAAGCTTCTCTCCTTCGGGGATGCTCGGGGCGACGAGCGCGGTGTAGCCCTCCTCCGAGAAGCCGGCCTTGCAGGTCCCTCCGGCTGTGGGGTCCTCACCCTGGGTCTGAAACCGGGAAGAAGAACCCGTCACTGGCCGGGAGCGCCCAGGTCTCTGGCCACGAGCCCAGCCCCCAGGGATGGCGGGGCCTGCTGCCGTGGTCGCCGGACTCGGCCACGGGTCGGCCTGGGTCTCGGGGTGCCGTGGGAGGGAGGGGGGTTGCGGAGCCTGGGCTGAGCCAGAACACACCGGTGTGTGGCGGGGCTGGGGGGGGCTGGGGGGCGGCATCCAACGATGAGGCCATGCGAGAGGCAGGCTGGGGGCCTGGAGTCCACCCTCGGGCGGGGCAGGTTAAGTCTCCTCTCTGGCCACCAGGGAGGGAGGAGCCGGTGGGGGCAGAGCAGCGCGTCTCCAGGCTGCGCTGAGGGAGGCGGCGAGGAAACGGGGCGAGGAGGGGGGGTTCCACCCGCAGTCCTCTGCCCGACTCTTCGGACTCTCCAGCCCAGCCAGGCCAGAAAGGGGGGTGCCCCAGGGTGCGTGAGGGAGCGGGCGCCTCAGGAGCCTTCCCGTGGGGCGGGACGGAGGACGCGTGGCGGGGAGCCAGCCCCCCGCGGCCAGAGCCGCTGAGCTCAGCTCTCCGGGGAGCAGCAGCAGCCCAAGCCCGGGTCTCGCCTCTCAGGGTGGTCAGCATGGAAAGCGCCTCCCCGCGCGGCCTCCAGGCGGGCGCAGCTGCCCGCCTGCCCTGCCCTGCCCTGCCCTGCCCTGCCCTGCCCTGCCCTGCCCTGCCAGCCCCTGCCCTGCCCTGCCAGCCCCTGCCCTGCCGTGCCCTGCCCTGCCCTGCCAGCCCCTGCCCTGCCCTGCCGCGGGCTCCGGGCTCCGGCCGCCGCCGAGGCCGCCCGAGGGCGCCCCGGGGTGGGGGGCGCGGGCCCCGTCTTGCCGGGGAGAAGCGCAAACCTCCCTCCGCTCGGGTGGACGCGCCGGGGCCACTCAAGCCCGGGGAGGCTGAAGGCGCCCGGGAAAGTTTGCACCGCCCGGGGCGCCCCCGCCCCCCGCCCCCCGCCGCCCGGTCGTTTCCGCGGAGACGGCGGCGGCCCCGGCGGGCGGCGGGGACCCGGCGCGAGGGGAGCGGGGGGCGGGGGGGTCCTCGGCTCCGGCGCCCGCCCGGGCGCCGCCCCAGCCCCGGCTGCCCCGATGCCCGGCGCGGGGCGCGGCCGGGGCGCAGCTCGGGCCCGGGGGGCGGGGGCCGCGCCCGAGGGTGTCCGCGCCCCGCCGGCCGCGAGGACCCTGGACGCGGCTCCGGCTCGCGCCGCGGGGAGCCCGCACGGGGAGCCGCGCCCGCCGCGCCCAGCCCGGTGCCCCAGCCCGGTGCCCGCCCCGCCCGCCCGGCCGGCCCGCCGAGGGGGCGCGGGCTCCGCAGCGGGCTCGCCCCGCGGGGCTCCCGCTCCCCGCCCCGCCGCCCGCCCGCGGCCCCGGCGGCCGAGCCCCGCGGCTCGGGGGCGCGGAGCCGGAGCCGGAGCCGGAGCCGGAGCCGGGGCCGGAGCCGGAGCCCGAGCCGGGGCCGGAGCCGGAGAGGGGGCCGGGGGCCGGGGCCGGGGGCCGGGGCCGGGGGCCGGGGGGGCGCGGGGGGGCCCGCGGGGGATCGGGGGGCGCGGGGGGGGCCCGCGGGGGGGCGGGGGGGGCCCGCGGGGCCCGCGCGGCCGGCGGCGGCGGCAACTTACCCCGAGCGCGCCGCAGAGCGCGAGCAGCGCGAGCAGCGCCCCGGAGCCCGCGCGCATCTTCCCGCCGCCGGGCCCGCCGCGCCGCCGCCGCGCCCCCTCCGGAGCGGCCGAGTCCCGGGCGGGCTCGCGGCCGGTGCGTCCCCCGCGCCCGCCGCCCGCGCCCGCGCCCGCGCCCCGACTGCAGGTGAAGCCGCCGCCGCGCGCCCGAGGCCCCGCCCCGCCCAGGCCCCGCCCGCCCGAGGCCCCGCCCGCCCGAGGCCCCGCCCCGCCCGGCCTTAAAGGCGCCGCGCCCGCCGCGCCCGCCGCGCCCCGCCCGCCCGCGCGCGCCCCCCGGGTGGCCGGCCCGGGAGGACCGCAGCGCCCGCCGCGCCGCCGCCGCGGGGGGGGCGGGTGGAGGGGAGGCGGGCGGGAGCTGCGGCCGGCGAGGCGCGGGGTCCTCGCCCCCACACCGCGCATCCCTGCTGCCCGCGGGGGCCGGCGCCTCGTGCAACTTCCCGCGGGTGTCGGGGGCGGGAGGGGGTGCCGCGGTCCCCCCTTTGTCTCCGGCGGCTCCCGACCCCAGGCCCAGGCCGCCTCCTGGCCTTGAGCCCGGTTCGGGCAGTAGCCTCGAGAAACCGGCGTTTTGGGAAGGGGCGGGCGGGGTGCGCCCCCGAAGCCGCCTCTGGGCCTGCGGGGTGGGCCTGGGGCCGGGGAGGCGCAACCGGCTGCAAAACCCAAAACCCGGAGGCCACGGAGGAGGTTAGAGGCTCGGAAGGAGGGGCACAGCCCCCCCAGCCCGGGGCCAGCGGCTCCAGCCCCTCTGGGGGTGACCTCTGAGCTGGGGGGGCTCATCTGTCCGGGACCCTGCGCCTTCTTTTAGGGTCGGAGACGTAAAGAAAAGTGGTTTTGTTTGCCCAGATATTTCCAATTCTCTTGTCGCGGCGGGCGGCGCTCTGTCCAGAACACATTAGTTCTGCTTTGGGAGCCGCTGTGGGGGGACAGCGGCGCCTCCAAGGTCAGCTCAGCCGGGCAGGGAGGGCAGCGCGAAGGAGCCCCCTGGGACGCTCACCGGGCAGGGTGGTCCGCACCCGGGCAGGGTGGTCCGCTGCTCAGGGCCGGAGCCAGTGGTCAGCAAGTCAGACCGGAGAGGCCCGGAAGGGGCAGGGCAGGCTGGTGTCCCAGACGCCGGGGGGCTCAGCGCACACCGGGAGCCCGGCGCCTCCTGCCGCCCCCGCCTGGCCTGGCCGGGGCTGGCGCCCTCCCTGGCCCGCAAGAGGAGCAGGTGGCCCACTGCCCGGGGCGTGTGCTGGGCCCCTCTGAGGCCAGGGACTTTCATGGACAGTCCATCCAAAATCCTCGCTGGAAGCGGAAGTCCACCCCTCGGCCTGGCGCTCACAGCTCTGCAGACTTCAGCCCCTCACTGGGCACCGCCCCATCCGGGGGGCTCCCTGGAAGCCTGTCAAGGCTCGTCCTGCTCTCCTGGAATGTCCAGCCCTGGGACCAGCCCGTGTCTTCAGTGGGCCAAGCTGGAGCCCTCCCCGGGAGCAGCGGGCTGCGGCAGCCCCGCTCTGGGTGCTGGGGGAAGCAGTGCTGGGCAGGCCCGCCCGGCTGGGCAGAGCTGGTGTGGGGCGTCGGTGCGGCTGGAGGCCTCGGCACGGGTGGGGGCAAGGCTGCTGTCCCCAGCGGCCGGCAGCTGAGCACGGAACCGAGCGTGTGCAGGCGCCAGGCGGGCTGTGCGCTCAGGGCGAGGGCAGGCCTGGGGCGGTCCCCGGGCAGTGGCGTCCCAGCCCTGACCCAGCCGGCACTGGCGGCCTCTCCCCAGCTCCGGGGGCAGCCTCCTGGCGCTCCGTGACTCTTGGAGCTGGTTTCCAGGCGCGGCCGCGGGAACACTGCAGTAGCCGTGCAGAGCCCAGCAGAGAGCATTGGTTACCAGGCTTGCGGGAGCTGCGAGGATGCACAGGAGGAGAAGGGCCTGCTCTGAGGCCCCAGGCAGGTTTCTGGGAGGGTCTGCGGCCGCTCCTGCACAGTGTGGGCCCTGCCAGCGGAGGGGCCGCCCCAGGGGCCTGTGAACTGGGCACCTCCCAGGCCCCGGGCCTGTATGCTGGCTGACCCCCCTGCTCCACCTTTGGTACTCGGATGAGCGCTTCAGAGGCTAGAGCAGCCTGTAAATGCGGATTCCCAGGCTCTGCCTGCCATGGAGCTGGGGGAGGGGCCTGTGGCCCGGCCTGGACAGCCGCTGTGTCCCGGCACTTTTAACCCAGGCCAAATGCAGCTCCTGGGCGCCTCAGGAGGCTGCTCCTTCCGGGGGCTGCCCTGGGCCTGCTGGATGGTATTTTGGGGGTGGGACCTGGGCGGGGCTCTGCATGAGAAGTTGGGGGGCAGACCCAGCCCACCCGCAGGAGAGCCCCCTCACCCCAGAGGAAAGTGCGCTCTCTTTCTCCAAGAGAGGAGGGAAAAGCTTCAGGGCTTAGGAGCGGCCCCTGTGTCGCCTGTGACTGGACCCCAGGGGTCCTCAAGCACCGTGGGCCCAGCTCCTTCCCGCCTTCTTAAGGGGGGTGGGGGGATCCCCCCTTGGAAGCAAATGCAGGACTCTGTTGGGGCACATTTTCCAGCCTTTTCATCAGATGCTAATTTGTTTCTTTGCCACGTATCATTATTTTTTAAACATTTCAACCTTAGACAAAAAGCTGTTTTGTAAAGAAAGCCACGGAACGTAACACAAGGTAGTTCCAGGATGAAACACTGGGCAGCGGATGCTCGGCCCCTAGAAAGGCCAGAAGCTGCCTCCCACAGGGGGAGCGTGGCCCTGCCCGGGACCCAGGTACTCTGAATGTCTGGGGTGCGCCCCACTGCCCCCCCACCCCGGCCCGCCCCGCCGCATCCTCTGAGCTTGTTCCGGCTTCCGCCAGGACCCGGGCGGTGCCATGTCCTGGGGCTGCCCACGCCGGGGGTCCCAAGTGTCATGTCGGGTGGGTCAGGCCTGGTCTAGACGGGCAGGCGGGGGCCCAAGGAGGAGCGGAGCTGCGGACCTGCCCCCAGCGCCCCCGCGGGCTTGCGGCGAAGGCCTCCATCTGCAGGTGGGGGCGTGCCACGCGCTGGGTGCGGGAAGAAGGGGTCTCCCCAGAACCCCGGATCTGGCCCCAGAGGCCCCGGTGATCTGCTCCTTCCCGGCTGGAGCCCACTGCTGCGGGCTGCCCGCTGCCCCTTCATCCCGGTCTCCGGCGGCCCCGGGGCTGCAGGGCCTGGGAAGTTCATCCACCAGGACACGGACACGCTCAGGCTCACGGAACACGTGAGCAGAGGGTTTGGAGAGTCCTTATCCTGTCCCCTCCCCCACATGCACGCGGCCCCCCGTGTTGACATCTTGAATTAGCGGGGTGCGTTTATTGCCATCGACACGCCCACGGCGGTACACCATTATTCGTGGAAGCCGGGGTTGTGCGAGCGTCACTCCCGACGGCCTCGCTTCTCTGGGTTGGACGAATGTGCCGCAAAGTCAGCTCCTCGGGGCCTCCGCCACCCCCTGCCCTCCTCTGCACCCCCCAATCCGTCACCTGCTGACGTGCTGCTGTCTCCACAGTCCTGCCTTCCGGATGATCTGGAGCTGGAATCACAGTGTGTAGCTTTTCAGACTGGCTTCCTGTTGGCAGGAGGAAGGAGGTCCCCCACGTCCTTCTGCGGCTGACCGACCGTCCCCCTGGGAGGACCACAGGCGTTAGCCACACCCCCAGTGAAGGGCATTGCTCCCTGGGTCCTTCAGAGCCAAAGACGGAGCCCCCCACTGCGCCCCTGGATGACTCTCAGAGGAGCAGCGCTCCCCCCGGCCTGCGGGGCCCTGGGCCCCCCAGCAAGCTCTGTCTCTGCTGCGTGCGGGGCGGGCCGTGCCCTGGCCTCTGCTGGTGACCATCCTCCCACCGCTGCCACCTCGCCGGCCCGGGCTGGGGCCTGCTGTGACCCCGTCGTCCTGGGTCCTGGCCAGCGCCTCCCACACTGACCTTTCGGTGCCCACTCCCCAGGCTGCCCTCGCCTCCCACTCTCGGTCCTGGGCTTCTGCCCGGTGTGACCTAGAGGGGGGCGTCTGCTGCCCCCAGAACAGCCAGCCCCTCAGGCACTCTCACTGTGTCCTTGCGCCTGTTTTCTGAAGTGGGGTTCACTGATACCTCCATTTCTAGGAGGGAAGGGGACTGAAGGGAGCAGCCCTGGGGTGAGTGGGGTCCCCTCCTGTGGGGGTTCAGCCCCCCCAGGGTCCCGGGGACCTTGGGGTTTGCTTGGCAGGTGGGACGGGCTGACTCGGGGCCTCTGAGGCAAGGCCCTGAGACACACGCAGGGCCTGTGGGATCTGGCTCCTGGGAGAGAAGCCGCCCTCCCCTGCCACCATGTCGTGTGGTGGCCCTCACGCCCCGCTGTGGTGCGGCCCTGGGCCCCGCCAGCCATGCTCGGGGGCGAGCTCCACGCCACTGCACAGGACAGAGGCTGTGGCTGAGTCCCACCTGGACACTGACCCTCAGAGCTGAGCCGTGGTCAGCGGTGGGTGGTTAAGACACGAAGTTATGGGGTGACCTGCCATCACACTGGCTTGCAGGGTGGACCCCGCCCGCGCCGTGGCAGCCTGCTCTCCCTCCGCTGTGGCTGGGGTGCCAGAGGAGAGCTCAGCGCCGGGTGCCTGGAGCTGGCGAGGCTGAGGGCAGCCTTTGTGATGGCATGTGTGGTGAGTGTGCCTGCAAGTGTGAGTGTGCACACATGTGGGTGTGCCTGCAAGTGTGAGTGTGCACATGTGAACGGGCATCGTGTGTGTTGGCGTGTTTGGGGGTGCCGGCTCTCCTGGATTCACCGTGAAATCAGCTCCACAGCAGACAGAGCTTGGCCCTGGGAGTGACTGGAACTGGCCAGGTGCACGCCGCACCCCCTGCATCCTGCAGCTGGGAGGAAGCAGCCCCCCGCCTCGCTGGGGCTCTGCTGGGGGAGCAGCCCTCCCCCACCCCGCACATGTGGAAAGCGTTATTCCTCATGCTCCGGCTTGCAGGGGAGAAGCGAAGACAGGAATCATGGGGCTCACCTCCGGCTAGTCCTGCCGCAGA